TAAATCCAATTTTTTTTTTCGTGCATTTTGTTCGAAGATATCTCGAACCGCTTGGAAATGGACTGTGTTGTGTTTCGCTTAACGTGGTGTTGTTTGTTTGGTTCTTTAGATTTGTACGTGGTTTTGGATTTGTTGAGCTCTGTTTGGTTACTGCGAAAACAAACGTTTTTTTTTTTTTTTTTTTAAAGCAAATCGATTCTCTAACGTTATTCAGTTTTTTGTATTCGTTTTTTCCTTGTGTTGTTTCGGAAATCTGGTGGAAACTTAAAGTATTGAAGGTTTTACAAAAGGTTGTAGTATCAAGGATTAGACGGACGAAGACGGCAACTGCGACCGCAATTTGAATCCTTGAACTGTTGGCTTTTTTCTTGTTTTGTTTTGTTTATTTATTTATTTTTGTTTTTTTATTGTCTTGTTTAGTTCTCAAAGTTTGGTTTGTGATTTGGTGGGAAGGTGTGTTTGGTTGCTAGAAAACAGGGTAGGTGGGAACAAGCTGTCACGTGTTGAGTAAAATAAAGTTTGTGAGTGATGTTGAGGGTAATTTTCTGGTTGTGAATCTTTGATGGTTAAGAAGAGTTTCGTTTTTGAATTGCACTTTCGTGATTGATATTACGGAAAATTTTCTGGTTGTGAATTTTTGATTGTTCAAAATAGTTTCATTCTCAAAGTAGGCGCTTAATTTTTCTGCTTGTATATTTTTGATTTAATGGGTCTTTATATGTGTGGTGTATGATTCAGGTGTTTAGCAGTGCCTCGAGTTGTAGTTTAAAATCCAAGGGATTACAGAAGAGTGTATTTGGTGCTTCAATTCCATGTGAATCAATAGTCTTACAGTTGAGTTGCCCAAACTTTTTTACCTGGCACTCTTCTTTTCTTTCACTTGCCTGTTTCGGTTCATTTAATAGTATGTGGTTTAATTTCTTGTGGTTTTGATGTATTGGTATTTGCACAGAAACTGCAATGCTCGTGGCATTCAGCCTATTAAAGCCACAGCAACTGAAATCCCTCTTCCCACCCAGAGTAAGAATCGTACCACTTTTGTGTTTAAATTAGGGTGATTTTCCATGCAAATTTTTTATTCTTACTTGTGGGTGCTCTTGATCTGTATAGAATCAAGGAGCATTGGGAAGACGAGAGTTGGAATAAATGGTAACTTTCTTGTTATGGGACTTTTTGTGTTTTATGTATCTACTTGCAGCATTTAACTTTATGCTCTTTCAATTTCACACTGAATGCAGAATACATCATCAACTATGAATTATATGAAGCTTTGCCATACATACCATCTTTTCATTTTATCCTGGTTTTATTTTTGAAGTAATAATCACTTTAATTGAAACGCATAAGAATGGCTCAACTTTTTATATTCAAAGTGACTGTTGTTGTTGCTTATGACATTGACATGTTTAAATTGTTGTAACTGGTGGCCTCCTCATTCATGGGTAATGTTTGATTAAGGAAATCAAATATAATATTTAGAGGATAATCCTATTGTGGGAACATATGGCCTAATTGACTAGAATCTGTATGCTTTAATCCGAGAGAAAGATTTCTGTTGGATTTAGGCTCAAACCTACATTCTAAGAATTTCAAATGATATTTTTAGGAGCTGTGCAAAATGTTTGAGGTGGATTTCTCAATTAAGTTATAAATGAAAAGCAACAATCGACTATTAATTCTACTTATTTTTAGTTTGGACTTGGGAACTTGGAACCTGCATATCAGTTGCATGAATGAACCAAAATAACTGTTAAGAAGTATCATCTAAAATGTTATGTAGAAGATGAAAACATTATTTTTAAAGGTAAACTTATTCATGGAATTTCTGTCAATTTACACATACTTATGCTGAAATGTGCAGGTTTTGGTAGAATTGGAAGGTTGGTGTTACGTGTAGCTACTTCCCGAGATGATATTGATGTTGTTGCAATTAATGATCCATTTATTGATGCAAAATATATGGTATGTACATGCAGTTAACTTAATGATCCTTTTTCTTATAGTATATTGTGTTCATAATTTGGCTCTGATTATAGACTATTAAATTTGTATTTGTCTGCATGTGTTTATGCATACATATGGTGATATATCATATACACATCTATCCCAAAATTTTTTGCCTTTTGTTTTTTGTATTGCCATTTTGATTTATATTATACCATGTTTGGTTAAATTTAAGTTGAACAAATACTCACCTATTTTTAAAATGCTCTCTTGGGAAGCTGGCTAAAACAAGTGATTATTTGTTCAGAATAAGCTCAACCATACTTGTTACCTATTTGTGGTGTGACATAATTTTATCTGGTGTCTGTCATGCTGATTCAAAGGAGATGTTCTTCAACTATAGTCTATGTTGTTTTATGCCTCTTGCCTTTTTGTAGTATTGTACATATCTTGATATTTATTTGGATTATTATATAATTTTCACCTGAAGAAGCCGCCACGTCTTATCTTTAATGAATCCAATTCGTGGTTTGTTGGAAAACATATAAAAAATGGTAGTAGAACAAGTTATCATTGGAAAGCCTATAATCATGAACCGTAAGATTCATGGTCATTAATAAAAGTAGCACATATATATGTATATATTACTTAAAAGCATAAAAACTTAACTCTTGAATCATTTTAACACAAAGAATCATTAAAAGAAAAGAAAACATACATATTAGAAGTCAAATAGCATAAATAGTGACATATAACCTTCAAAACAAATAAAGATACAAATAATAATAGCCAGTAGCTACAAGGACAAAAAATGGTTGCCTGCTGCACAAATTATTGAAACAAATAGCTATTTGCTGCTGCACATTTCAGCCAGCATAACTTCCCCCCAAAAAAGTGCTGTTGTTTATTGAATTCATAAAAACAGAGGCTGCTTGCTGCTGCACAAATCCAGCAGTATAGCCTCCTAAAAAAGAAGCTGTTGCTGCATAGATTCAGCAAACAATGGCTGCTGTTGCTGCACAAACCAGCAGGGGATCACCATCAACCAGCAGCACAAAACCCACCAACCAGGAGCAACTAGATCGCAAACGAACACAAACAGAGAACCACCCCTCAGTTGCAGGCATGAATGGGAGGATAAAAGAAAATAAGAAGTAAGGAGACAAGTAAAAGGGTGTTTCAGATGAAAGTGACAGGCTGGGTCTCCTTAGAGGGAGAATATCTGCTGATTCCCTCCTGTTTTAAATAACTTTTTGATTTTTTTTGTAGGATTTTAAAATGCAGCTTGCGCATGACCTGACCTGCTTTGGGTGCAACCCATTTTGAAACAGAATCGCATGATTCAGATACAGATCATGGTTCATGCGATTCTTGCGCAATTCATGTGATTTGATGTGATTGAAGCCCAAAAAGGATATAGACAGCATGATTTGCATCATTTGCCTATTGAATTGTATGAATCGAATTGCCATACATGCAATACTAACTACTTTGTATCAAACACAACAGAAAACATTACACCATTTTAATATTTTTCAATTACTTTTGTGTTGTTTGACTGAATTTCAAATGGAACTATAAATTAAGGGGGCTTTTTTATTTTGGTACAAAATAAGAGGGCTTTATCTGTTTGCTCGATCCTCAATCTTTTTTTTTGTAATGAATACTAGCAATGCACTTTTTAAATATAATGGAATATACAATAGAGATTGAGTTAAAGAATGACAAAATCTTGTGAAAAAGCAGCAGGTCTCTTAAAATTTGTTGGGGACATGGGAATATTTGTGCCAGGATTTTTCGAAGATACTGTTGGAGTAGATAGTCATGTGTAGTGCATCTATACATGCAAGGACAATAGATTTTCTAAAACATTACAAGAAAGTGGCGAGTGTATTGTTTGCTTGTATTCCAAGCTTTCCAATAAATTCAATTTTTTTTCTTTGTTGCATTTTTTTTAAACTCATTTATGCTTGATGCTTGTTTTTTGATTTATATTAATTTATTCTTTTTTCTGATTGGAATCTTCTTATCATCCTTACAACTTGCTTCATCATTTTTCATCTAATCTCTCTCTTTCGTAGGCTTACATGTTCAAATATGATTCTACTCATGGTCCATTCAAGGGGACCATTACGATTCTGGATGACTCTACTTTAGAAATTAATGGGAAGGTGGTTAAAGTTGTGAGTAAAAGGTATCATGAGTTGATCTCTGATAATTAATATGGATGTTAAAAATGTGTTACTGGTTTACAATACTAGTGTAGGCGTTAAAAGGGTTAAAAAAATAGATTAACATTCATAAACTTTGTTTTTTTATTCAGAGATCCTGCAGAGATCCCATGGAGTGATTTTGGGGCTGATTATGTCATTGAGTCTTCAGGAGTTTTTACAACACTTGAGAAAGCTTCATCACATTTGAAGGTATTTACTTAGCTGTGTATTAAGTGTTGTCTCTCATTCTTCTCTCCTCCTTTGCCTTGCTCTCTACAGCTTTGAATTTTAATTTGAGCTTTGTCTTTTTATACTATAGGCTGGTGCCAAGAAAGTCATAATATCAGCTCCATCTGCGGATGCACCAATGTTTGTGGTAGGAGTGAATGAGAAGACATACCACCCAAGAATGGACATTGTTTCTAATGCAAGCTGTACAACGAATTGTCTTGCTCCTCTTGCCAAGGTTTGTTACACATCATGTAATGCCAAGCTATATTGAACTCTCGAGGCTTTCTATGTAATGAGTGTTTAATGCTAGTGTGTAGTTTGATGGTGTAAGACTTAACTTTAAGGTTTAATGGCAGGTCCTATTCCTTAAAGAGCAAGAGAAATAATAGGGGGAGAAAACTTTAGTTATTCTGTAACACATCCTAAAAGGAGAGGCTTAATATGAGCTTTTTGGGGGTGTCTTATACATGGACATACTTTTCTCTATTCTTCAATTTATACCACCATGTTTTCTCTCAATATTTTCTCCAGGGATAAATCCAGTTTTCTTTTTTCACCCAGGGAGAGTGTGGTAAACTATAAAAGCTGAGCTAATGAGAGTATATAATTCATAGATAACGATTTACTATCAATATTCAGTACTATGTCTCCCAATACAGGGAATAAAATTATCAATGAAGTGAATTTAATGGAGTACATACTTTTCTCTATTCTTCAATTTATACCACCATGTTTTCTCTCAATATTTTCTCCAGGGATAAATCCAGTTTTCTTTTTTCACCCAGGGAGAGTGTGGTAAACTATAAAAGCTGAGCTAATGAGAGTATATAATTCATAGATAACGATTTACTATCAATATTCAGTACTATGTCTCCCAATACAGGGAATAAAATTATCAATGAAGTGAATTTAATGGAGTAATTGCCGATCTATCTGAATCTACAAGTTATGCGTACGAAAAATGTGGCCTTGTGGTATTTGTTTCAGCCATGGTAGTTGAATCGAGATACAAATAATGTATCGGAAGGGATATTCCCCACATCGCTGAAAGGGAGGGCTCTGAGTTGGTTCACGCGGTTACTGAGCTCTTCCATCGACTCGTTTAATGAGTTGTCGTCCCAATTTATGTTGCAGTTCGCAATAAGCAAACCGTACAAGCGCTTGTGTTAGGAAAACGTTCAAGTGCTCCTCGGGGTCGGTAGACCCATCGTACTTCTCGATTGGAAGGCTCTTCCAATGGTCCAACAGGGTTGCCTCCATTATCCTTCGAGAGAAAGGGTGCCTCAGGGAGTGAGTGGTGGTGTCGACCTTGTTACCTATTAGAGAAGTAACTGGTGTTCGGGTGACCAGCTGGTCGGTTGGGGCATGATAGGCTGACTCCTCTAGGAGTGTGAGAGTGGACAACACATAGGTTTGGTTCAGACTTCGAAGTTCGGCGTTCTGTTGACGTAGTTCAGCCAACTCCCTGGCATCGGCTTCCCTTTGTCTTCGGATGGCTGCCATTTCCTCGCGCAATGCACGCAAGTCGTCGTGGAGGTCGGGCTGGGCTCTGTCAGTTTTCGGCCGGACCTCTTCTATCACAGGCTCCGGCTGTGTCTGAGGCATTCCGTACGGGTATCGTTCTTGGCCAGTCATGATGGGATTGTTCTCGGGGTTAGGGATCGGTTGAGTCGATGTCGATGGTCCTTTGCGTGTAACTACCATGTCTCGGTCACAGTCGTAGAGTTCAAATGGGCTGAAAACGTCTCTTCAGCCCCACGGTGGGCGTCAAATGTTCTTGTGTTAGGATACACGCTTCCTTTATCCTGGTTGTAGCGGATCTGGTCTTGGGTTTAGGTCTTCTCGTCCTTCTCCGAGTAGTCCGAAGTGAGGGGGGGTGCCTGCAAAGACACTCCAACACTCAAGTAAGTGCTCGGCGTAATAAATGCGATAGTTAAAATTTGGTTACGTACCTCGCAGGAGTCCTATTTATAGTGTTTCTTGTTGGGCCGTGATTAGGGACTGAGCCCCGGGAAATTAAGGGGCTAATCCAATGCATTATGTAAATTAACCTCTCCATAATTATCCTGACATAAACCCGTAATTTGGCCGAGCCCGCCGACACGTTCGGATCAAGTATAAGGTGGTCGACGGTCTTGGCTAGGTTGACCGGGTCAGTCGGGTCGACTAACATATGGTATTGAAGGCATGAAAGCTAAAATTGAAATAGGGGTAAAATAACATAATACCGTGACAACTAGTATACGTGTTCATTTTTTCTTAATGATATTTAATTATCTATATCTATATCTGTTTTTTGCATATACATTATTATTATTATTATTATTATTATTATTATTATTATTATTATTATTTTTAGAATTTCAACTTTTTAAATGAAAATTAAAAACTGTTAAATAGGAGTTATTATTAAAGGTTA